CTGCGAAAATGTAAAACACAGTATTCTACATAAAAAAAAAACAAGAAAACTTAAAAGAAAAAGTAGGAAAACAAAAGTAGAAATCATACAAATATATTCTTCCCTGGGAGAATTCGAACCCTGAAACATCTCCGGATATGAATTCACTACACTATCGGCTTCGCTACTGCATTACTGCTTGCAAATTTAACAAAAGAATTATATCTCTAGAGTATATCTGTAAAAGATTAAAACATTAAACATCTCTGTAAATAATAAATATTGACTGAAATGCTCGGACACGGTCAAATTATATTTGCTTTAGAATCGACAGACCAAGTTGCATTAAAATGGACGATCCAACAGTTGTGATCTCTCCTTGTAAGAAATCTTGACAACAACGTGAACGGAACGAGCAGGAGCGTTGTCACGGTGCAGCAACCAATTGTCACTCTTTCTCAAAAAGATGCGGCCGTTTCCTCCATTACTGCGTCATGCAATCGCTTCCAAGTTCTAATATTTTTTGTTTATCGTGCGATCTTGTGGGGCGTATTCTTGGTACACAAGACCAAGTTTGGTCTTACTATCGAAGGGAACGGTGAGCATTCACGTCGTTACTCTCCGACTCTTTCTTTCTTTCCTTTATTTGCCTGTACGTCACTCATGGAGTCATCTTTGTATACCTTTCATACGAATCATACGAATTGCCACCGGAAAGGTGTGACTCAAGTTTTTGGCAAAGCTCGATGCAAATTCCTTGCCCGACTCGCTTCATTGATCGTGTAGATAATGCGACAAAACTGCATATTGCTGTCTGACTGAACAGTTTCAGGCTTCTGTTAATTGATAACAGCCTTTAATTTGCTTCATACCTGCTTTTTGCAATTGTACACTCGAGGAACAAAAAAGTTATACGCAGAGGTCGGATACTTTTCGGACAGTCCATGTACATAACGTATAATAAATACGCGGCTCGCGTTTAGGTTAATTTTAAGAGTACGGTACTTAATCGTTGCGCGTGCAATGGTCCGCGCCTTCCGCCCTGTGTAAAGGCGCGCGTGACCTTCCGCCGATCCTTATCAGCCATTCCGTCCACGAAAGGCCTTTCGAGCGAAGCTCAAACAAGACTCGTGCTCGTGGCGTAACGGGGTCGAGCTTCGTATAGGTCAGCGACGACGACCATCGATCCACGAGCTGGCGTGTTTCCGCCAGTCGCTTCCTTTTCTTTCTTTCTTTTCATTTCTCTCTCTCTCTCTCTCTCCCTCTGGAAGGACGAGGAGAGAGAAAAGTCGCTGACCTTAGGTTAAGTCGTTTCAAACGTCTCGATCATCTCTTCGTCCGGCGCTCGTCTCTCTCTTTCTCTCTCTCTCTCTCTCTCAAGGGTATATTCTGGTGTGAACTTTTGAAAAAATCGACTTCTTTTTGGCGCATATTCTTAAAGGGCATGGTTTCGAAAAGCAAATCTCTGCAACCATACACGCGAACTCCTAAAGTTAACAAAGTTAACAAAATTAAAAAAATTATGGTTGTTTGAAGGACCAGCGTCATTGTTACCGCAATACTAAACTTTTAAAGGCATCTCTCTGGAAACCATGTTCATCGGAAACGGTGTCCATGATATCTGAAAATCTACTTGACTAACTGACGCAAAATTTTAAGTATGCATTTTGGTACACGCGTGACTGTAGCCCCTAACAGAATCAACCATAATAAAATTTTATTTTTCAGATTCTTTCAGGCTTCCAAAGTTTAACAGAAATATGCAGAAATCGATAATCGAACTTCAAAGTATCGCCACTTTTTTAATTACCTACTTTTTCCTCTTGTTTTTGATACCTGCTACAGCCAAACTCATACTGATTAAGGAACATTCACGTTTCTTTTTATTTCCGACGAAGCAGAATGGCCGGAATCATGGACACCGTGAGCGACTATGTTTGAGAGTATGCAGTGCCACTCTCATTCTAACTTTTTTTTTTGTCTCAAAAAATTTTAAAACGTCGTTGAAACACGTACCTTGAAATAAACCTTGCCAATCTGACTGCAAAAGGTATGATAGTTTCTTTGCGAAAGATTCCCTAGCAAAGTGAAAAAAACACTCACCCTTCACACTAGAATACCCCGCGTTAAGGTACTTCTCCGTTTGAGAGTTTCTCGCGAGAGTATTCTCCATTTATTTCTCTCTCAAACAGTTGAAACACTCTCGAGGGCGACTCAAACGGTGAAGTATTCCTTTGGTTCAGTATTCCTCGTCGTCGTTCGGTTCGATTCGGTTCGGCACGACGATCAGGTGTCGATGTCTTCCAGCGAACGAAGCGCCAGGAGGAGGAAAGAATGAACGTTGATCGATCGCGTCGACGAATATCGATTTTTTAGTTTTAAGGCATGTTTTCTTTTCTTTTCTTTCTTTCTTTCTTTCTTTTTTTCTCGACAGTTTGTGGTTTCGAGCAAACAAATAAACGCGACCAATGTTTCGTTTTACCTCGTTTCAATTTCGTTTCGTCCCTCGACGAGGACCGGGAGGTGGACGAGAGAGGATGGACGAGAGGAGCTTCTTCTCTTTGGAAAGAAGCGAGGCCGAAGGATGAACACAACGAGGCGAGTCGCAACGAGTCAGAGAGAAATTTGGTCGAAACGGAGGGAAGAACGGTCGATGGAGAGGAATTTGGAGGAATCGAGGAAAGAGGGCGACGTGGACATTGGCTCGGGCGTGACTGGCGTGACTGGCGTGACGGTGGCGGGCGTGGTCGGCTGAGAGAAGCCTCCGGCCGCCGGCGGTCTGGCCATCACCAGCTTCCTCGTGTTCTTCTCCGGCTTGGCCAGCACCAGATAAACCTTTGGCAGAAACAGGCAGAGCAGCTGCACCAGCCCGTTCAGCGACAGAGAAAGCGCCAGCGTGATGACCTTGACGACGTTGCTGGTCGAGGCCATGTAGAGGGGCACGAACGCCAGCCAGAGCACGATCGTCGCGTAATTGGCGAACGCGATGCATCGGGTCTCGTTGAACCCCACCGGGCACTTTCTCGTCTTCACCGCGTAGAACGTGGACGCCACTGGACGTGCGCGAAAGAGGAAACGTTGAAAGGACAAAGAGTCGACCGAGGTTGAGCTGAAATGTTGACTCACCCGTCAACAGGAACGGATAGAGAAGACCGATCACGTAGGAGCCGTCCTCGGAGTCTCGGCAAACACGGACGTTCGCATCTCTGCTCGGGTACGAGTGCTCGATCGCCGGTGGTTCCTTGAGCAACCAGCCAGCGTCGAACGCCGTCTCTATCAGGACGAGGATCGACGCGATCGTCAGCTGAGACGTCGGACTGGTAAACCTGCCGCACGATACCTAACTAGTGCTTGGTAGTTTTCCTTATTTATTGAAGTTAATCCATGCCTTTCGGCTTTGGACGACTTTCCAGCCTTTCACAATATGACATCGAGTGCTCATTCTCCTTAAAAGTTACAACACCCTAACCTACCATTCTATATATACAGAGTGTTTCGTAACTTGTGGGAGCTGATTGTACGCCTAAAAATAATGGAGAAAAGTCATATATAAATATATGTCCTGTCTGTCTTCGTTCACGAGATACAATGAATTTTCTGTTTTTAATTACTTTTACAAAAAGATGCTCGAAATTACCACCTTGCACGCGTCTTGTCATCCATCTGGTTACTCTATCGTTCCTGGTGGTTTCTCGAATT